CCCAAGTAATTGTAGTACCTACAACTTCTAACCTCTGATGGGTATTACCCCACCAATACTATCCTTCTTTAGACATCATGTGTGTTATGAACAACTCTTTATGCGCATAAGTGGATGCCTTAACTCATAAAATCTTCCCAATCTCCGGAAGCCAAGTTTAAGCACCCCCCCGAATCATACATCTCCTTGAACGCAGGTGGATTGTTCCTCTGAAACTTTCCTAGCCCACGGAACTCATCAACCACTCCATGTTGATTATGTTAAGCCTGCAATGTCACATTTGTTTTCCCCATCTCATGAGCCTTAACCTCCAAAGTATCAGCAATCACACGATCATTCCTTCTAGCCAACAGATAAACCAATTATCGATAGTTTTCACACATATCATATACCAGGGTACAAAATCGTTCACAATCTAGACCAAAACTTAGGCCGAATGAACTAATCTATTATGATACCAACTATGTAACACCAACACACACACACACACACACACACACACACACACACACGCACGCGCACACGCACACGCACACGCACACACACACGCACACACACACACACACACACACACACACACACACACACACACACACACACACACACACGCGCGCGCGCACGCACACACACACGCACACACGCACACACACACACACGCACACACACACGTGCGCGCACGCGCACACGCACACACACACACACACACACACACACACACACACACACACACACACACACATATATATATATAGGACCATCCAAAAATAATCATAATTTATCACAGAGTGTCACATCTCATCTTAAAGTGACAACTTTCTTAATTTAAAATATAGTAGCGGAAACTAAAAAATATAGTTTGAACTTCAACATCTCAAATTAAACAACTAAAATCTCAAAATAAGTAATTAATCTAAAAAAACTCCAGGAAACATGAAATAAACAATAACCCGTCTCAATGTTACACTATCAAAGTGACAGACATGTATACTAAATAACTCAAAGAAAGTGGTAGAAAAGAGTGCACATGTGTTTATGCCCACCCCAAACCTGCTCAGTTTATATCAACTTGTACTTTATTATTTATTTTTGGATCATGCTAACATGTGCCTTAAAGGTACATGTTAAAGATACTATAATTAGAAAAATTTAAGTATAATAAAATCAAATTTAAAGTTAAAAAAAAATGCACGCAATCCAAAATAATATTGCTATAAATAGTTTCTTAACATGTTCCCCTACAACATATGTCAGCATTATCCTTTACTTTTTGATAATTAGATATATTATTTGAATGATTGATGATTTGATACTTTAGTGTAGAGGTGTTCAAAATCAAACCGGCTCCATAGAAAATCGTAAAATCAAACCGAACCAAATCGAAATCGTAAAAAACTGCATTTGATTCGGATGTGTTTGGGTTGTTTTCTAAAGGAACCGCACGGTTCGGTTCGGTTTGCGGTTCATATTTTTTAAACCAAACAAAACCATATTATGTTATAAAATCTTACTAACCAATATATATTTCTTTAATTTTTTAGAGAAATTAACATGTATTATGTGTATATTTTATCATACTTTGTATAATATTTATTTTAAATTTTAAATCATAAAAAAATAAAATATTATTTATTTATAAATATTATTTTCTCAAAATATATTTTATTGTATTCTTTGTATAACATTTATTTAAGAATGCAATTTTGTCTATATCATTCTTTAGATTTAGAAAAAAAATTATAACACACAATTTTATGTATCAAATTATAAATTTATTTTGACAATTATAAATTTTTTATAGTAATGTATGAACAATTAAACACAATTATATTTTCCTCTATATGTGTATGGATGACTTAATAATTTTTTTATAAAAAACCAAATCAACCGAATCAATTCAAACCGCATTAGTTTTGTTTGGTTTGGTTCAGATTTATTTTTAAAAGTCAATCAAATTAAACCGAACCACATATATTTTTCTCTTGCAGTTCGAGTGATTTTTTGCTTTAAAACCGTCCAAACCGCACCGCAAACACCCCTACATTGATATTTACTTTATTATTCGAAATATTTAAAATGTATATTTGGACATTTTCAAAATTGTTTTAATTTTTTTTGTAATATAATTTTTTTTTTGGATTTTCACCACCAGTATAGTCTGGTTCGGAGGTCATTATGGCATCAAGTGGTTCTAAATCCTTTTCGATCGTAATTGTAGGAGATCAAACTATGATACTCCTTATAAAGTCCAACGTCAATCACCACTGAACCAACTAACGATTGATTTCTTTATAATATAATTTAATATTGGGAGAAAAGGCTATTTTTATTTAAAAAAAGTAATTACAATGCATGGATGAGAGCGGAGCAGAGATACCTAAACTAAACTCAAACTCGTTAAAACGAGTTTAAAATTCTATTCTTCATTATCGACGAAATTGGGCATAGACTAGAAATTTAAAAGATTCGAATTTGAATACAAAAAAAATTAAAAATCATCATTGTCCTATTTGTTGGAGGATTTAACCTGCCACCTTCACATTTATACGTGACACCTCTTCAATAATGGTGCTATTACTCTTATGTCTCTACAAAAAAAATTTGAAATTTCTTTTCGTGTTTATCAGAAATTTCAAAGAAAATATGGGATATTTCTAAAATTTCAAGAAAAAATTATCGATCTTTTTAAAAAAAATCAGATAATTTACTTTCGATAAATTTTTTTTTTATATTATTTAAAATTTTGAAATTTCCGATAAATTACATAAACTTTTGAAATTTAGCTGAAATTTCTAATAGTAATTTTTTATAATTGTCAAAAATAATATAAAAAAAATTTGTTATATTATCAAAAATTTCATTCTCTATCACCTTTAAATTTATTCATGGTAAATTTAAAAATTATAAAAATTAAGAAATTTAAAGTATAATTTGGAGTGATAAATTAAATGTCGTATCTACTTAAAGTTTATAATATTCACATGAATTATATACCAATCACTTACTAGAAATTGGCCTTTAAAATACATCCACGAAAGCATCAACTAATTCTTTTGAAGCCAGAATAAAATTATTTGGTATTTTAAAGTGTACAAATTCTTTAGTACTTTAAATAAATTATTTGGATACTTATAGACCAAATTTATTTTAAAATAAGTTAATCTAAAAAAGATAATATGAAAGTATAGATTGTTGTAGTGTTCACTTTTGAATTTTGTTTTGTTTCTTTTGTGGGTGGCAGAGAGCCCATACCTTTCTACAGTTCTACTAGTACATGGATCGGTCGGTGCACTGAACATACTATGTGACAAAAGCCATTTTAGCCAATTCTGGCGACTGGACGAAAAAACCACCTCTAGAAGCGGAAACTAAATATAAATTACAAATAAATTACAATAATTGTGTTGGCATAATAGTAACTTAAAACAGCCCTTGACAACATACAAGAAATATTTGATCTACATTTCATAGGGTGTATGATGCATCCTCAACGTTTGAGAATATTAAAATAAAAGGGATGGTGACAAATGGTAAGAAAAATAAAGATAAAAATGAAATGTAAAATAATTGTTTGAAATTAAAAGTGTAAATAAAATTATGTTATTGTATATTATACTTAATTTATGTAAGATGAACTACAATCAGAAGTGATTATGTTAATATTTATTATATTTAATTTATGGAAGATGAACTACAATTAGAAGTGAGAATAGAACTGAAGTTGAATTAAATAGGTCAGATTTATTAAAGAAAATTAAAGAATGAATTTACCCTTTTACCTAAAGGCTTTCCTAAAACTTTAGAAAATACGACTCTATTAACCTATTTTAAAACATCTTTTAATTTAAATTTTTTTAAGAAGAGTAATACTCTAATAAATAACTCTACATTTTTTTAATTGACTTTGTCACATATAAAATAAACAATATACTTAACAAAATATAATATTTATATTTATATTATATTTTATAACATGAATTGAAATATATTATTCTCTGTCTTAAAATAAATGTGATCTTTGAAAAATTATTTCACTTGAAATACATTTTAGTGCAATTTTTATTTATGTTTTTTAATTATATTTTTAATTAATATTTTTAATTTATTATTTTATTATTTAACATTAAAGTTAATTTGATTACACAAATTGAAAAAAAAAAATTATCTATCTTTGCTTTATTTTTTCCCTCCGCCTTATAATAAGTATTTATTTAAATTTTGCGCGTTTCTTAAAAATATAATTAGATATATTAATTTATTATTTATTAAAACACTCTTATTTATCATAATTAAAAAAATAGTTAAAAAACATAAAAGTTAATAAATAAAAATATAATAATAAAAATAAATAAATGTTATATTTATATTTTAAAAAAATATTTATTTTAAAACATAAATAACATATAAATAAAATATATTTTTTGATTTAATCAACTAATATATTTACATAATAAATCGAGTAATCTAATTTTTTGATTCAAATAAACAATTCATTAACCAAACTTTATTTCTATAAAAAATCAAACTTAAAGTGTACTTAAATATTTTTCGTTTTTAGTGGAAATTTTCTTTCTTTTATCCCTTTTATGAGACAAAGGAAGTAATAATTTGTATGGAAATTACAGTAACATTTATTTTGAGAGGGAAGGAGTATACAAGTGCACTTTGGTCGTTGGAGTCAGAAATGACATCATCTTTTCAATATTTGATCACCTTTTTTGAAGAACAATATTTGATGACCTTATTTGATCACCTTTGATGTCATGATATCATTTCTCCGTAAAAAATGAAACAACCCTATTTTATACACCATTGTAGCATCATTGCTTTTGTTGCAAAAATAGAAAATAGTGAAAATAATAAAATAATAAAATAATTTAAAAAAGCCATCAGTAACTCTATAAATAAGGTGCAATCTTTCCTTCCATCACAATAAATCATTTTCTTCCCAATCTTTGAAACACAGAAAACAAAGAAACGTTTCCAAGTTTGCATACAAAACAATGGCACCAGCAAAAACTCTCAATCATCTCGCTCAGGAAAAATCCCTCGAGTCCAGTTTCGTTCGCGACGAAAGCGAGCGTCCGAAAGTCTCTTACAATGACTTCAGCAATGACATTCCAATCATTTCTCTAGCCGGAATAGACGACGTCGATGGACTAAGAACAGAGATATGTAACAAGATTGTAGAAGCGTGTGAGAACTGGGGTATCTTCCAGGTTGTTGACCATGGTGTGGACTCAAAGCTCATTTCTGAGATGAGCCGTTTTGCTAAAATGTTCTTCGATTTGTCACCAGAAGAGAAGCTTCAGTTTGACATGTCCGGTGGTAAGAGGGGTGGCTTCAATGTGTCTAGTCATCTCCAAGTACGTAATAAACAAAAAATTATACTGTTTTAGAGTCTTAATAAAATATATATGAACAAAGAGTTTTATGCTAATTTGAAATTGTTTTACAGGGAGAAGCAGTGAAGGATTGGAGAGAGATAATGATATATTTTTCATATCCAATCAACCAAAGAGACTATTCAAGGTGGCCAAACAAGCCAGAAGGATGGAAAGATGTTACAGAACAATACAGTGAGACTCTTATGAGTTTAGCATGCAAGCTATTGGAAGTTTTATCAGAGGCTATGGGGTTAGAGAAAGAAGCTCTAACAAAAGCATGTGTTGATATGGATCAAAAGGTTGTCGTCAATTACTACCCAAAATGCCCTCAACCCGATCTCACCCTTGGCCTGAAACGACATACTGACCCTGGCACAATAACTCTGTTGCTTCAAGATCAAGTGGGTGGTCTTCAGGCTACGAGAGATGATGGAAAGACGTGGATCACTGTTAAGCCTGTTGAAGGTGCCTTTGTTGTCAATATTGGAGATCATGGTCATGTGAGTACACTTTTTTTTTTATATTTTAAATCATATGTATATATACTATACTCTATTTTATTGCATGGTGCTTATTTTCATAATTTGTATAATTTGCACATGCATGCAGTATCTGAGTAATGGACGGTTCAAAAACGCTGATCATCAAGCAGTTGTGAACTCAAACTACAGTCGATTATCTATTGCAACATTCCAAAACCCAGCACCATATGCAACTGTGTATCCTTTGAAGATTAGAGAAGGAGAGAAATCTGTGATGGAAGAACCAATCACTTTTGCTGAAATGTATAGGAGGAAGATGAGCAAGGACATTGAGATTGGTAGGATGAAGAAGATGGGTAAAGAAGAAAAAGAAATTAGGGACCTACAGAAAGCAAAACTTGAGGCCAAATCTCTGAATCAGATCCTTGCTTAGACTTCATTTGCATGATTATGATTTATGGTTTCCTTAAATTTGTGTTTTTCCTATGAATAGTTATGTTTAGTTTGCACTTGACTCCTTCTCCTTGATGTATTATGATGCATACATTTTGTTATTTACGATCAATAATATTAATAATACATGTGTTAAATTATCGTTCCCTTTTTCAATAACTGCTCCAAAATCATCAACAACAAAGAAAAATAGATTGACATTCTAACACCTAAACTTTTAATTTTAATATCTAATATCCAATCAATTAATTTTTGTAAAAAATAAAGGCCAATTCAAAATATTAAAATGAAGAAAAGAAAGAAAAAAAAAGGAGTGACAAGAACCGAAATTCATCAACGAGGAAACCGTCTAAGCTCGAGAAAGTCAGGCTTGTGACACAAGAAAGCATCCATAATATCTATAATTAAATCAACTTCTATTCTTCAATTCAATGCAAGGATATCTAAGCACATGTTGCCTTCTCTATAAATGTGTGTGATAATACCTTCTATTTTTTTTCATTTTGTGAAGTCAATTAAACCAGTAATTCTGGATGGACCAAGGAACAATAGTTGGATTGGAGAGGGTCTTAACCACCAATAAATAATCAATTTCAATCCAAATTTTATCCCAATGCTTGTTTAAAGTTACTTCCATTGCCAAGATCGCATGGGTGAACTCAGCCAACAATTCATTGCCAACTCCTATAAAAGAAGAGAAACTACCAATATGCTCATTTTTGTCATTGTTAAAAATAGCTCCATGGTTGATGAAATATTAAAATAAATTAAATTTGATTTGATTAGATTTAAAATTTAAATATAATCTAAGTTGTGTTAGTCTAAACTTAGTTAAAATTGTATATAAATAATTATAGTATGTATCTTTATTTTTTACAGTACAATTCATTAAGTAAATAATAGAATCCTTATTTTCTTTATTATCTTCTCTTTCTCTCCTCACTAAAAGTGTCTCACGCACTAATAAATTGGTATCCAGAGCTTTCAGTTATTGTTTTTAATTGAGTTTTTAAGAACTTCACGTCAGAGATCGTGTTTCCAGAACAAGTGAATCAACCGCTGCGAAGATGGCTAGCGATAAGGGCATTCTGAATTCTTTTCCAATGCTTGACGATAAAAATTGAATTCGATGAAAAAACAGATGTAATTCTAGTTTGGCTTCCATGAAATCCTAGAAATGGTTACCGACGGCGTTTCTGTGCTGGCTGTAAATGCAACCGACAAAGAGAAAAAGCCCACAACGAAGTCAAGAAGAAAGATTACAAAGTTGCTTATTGTATTCAGACGGCAGTCGACGCTGCTAACTTCAATAGAATTTCTCAAGCTGAGACGACGAAGAAGGCATGTGATATTCTGGTGAAGTATTACGAAGGAGGTGAGAAGGACAAGGTTGTCAAGTTACAAACCTTGTATCGACAATATGAGTTGTTATCGATGGGAGAAGATGAAAGAGTTGCAGAATATGTGTCGAAGGTTTGGAAACTCGTCCATCTCATAAAGGGTTATGGTGAAACCATAACTAATAAGATGATAGTTGAGAAGATAATGAGAACGTTAACCTCTCACTTTGTTGACGTTATCGTAACTATTCAAGAATCCAACAAACTTGAAACCCTAAAAGTGGAAGATTTGGTTGGTTCATTGGAGGCGCATGAGATGAAGATTATCGAAAGAAAAGGAGTTCAGGATTCGATATAGGCACTGCAAGATCAGTCACGGAAAATGAATGGTGGTTCCAACAAGTTTAAAGGCAATGTCGAAAAGACTCAGGGAAAGAATTCTTCGTCTAAGCCTCACAAGCATCAGGTCAAAGACAGAGCTTCTGAATCCTAGAAAATATAAGAAGGAAATTATTGAAATGACAAAGAAGATAAAAAAGGTGTGCAATGCTATATTTGTGAAAAGTGGGGTCACGTAGCTAAGAATTGTTGGTACAGAAAAGGTAAAGGATCGACAGGCAAGGACAAAGGAGCGAACCTTGCACGCCAAGATTCAGATGATTCTGAAGGTGGTATGGTGGTTATGGCTGCAGTTGCAGATAACCATGTCAAATCCAAGATCTGGTTTCTCGACTCAGGTTGCTCGAACCACATGACTAGTCGAAAGAAGTGGTTGGCATATTTTGACGAGTCGAAGAAGAGCAAGGTAAGCTTGTTGATAATAGTTCGTTACGAGCAGAAGGTACTGGGAACATAGTCTTTCAAATGAGTAATAGACGGAAAGCTATGATCAAAGATGTGCTCTATGTACCAGGAATGAAGTGCAACTTGCTAAGTGTTGGACAACTAGTCGAAAAAGGTTTCTCGGTTGTCATGAAAGATGAAGTTTTAAAATTGTTCGAAACCAAGAACAATTTGGTCTTAAAAGCTTCTTTGTCAAAGAAACATGACGTTTAAGACCATGATCAGTTTGACTAAAGTACAACGTCTAAAAACTGTTGTCGACCACAAGGATAGTTGGTTATGGAATTTGAGGTTTGGACATTTGAATTTTAGATCACTTAATAAGTTAATTACTCAAGATATGGTATCTAGTATCCCAAGTCTTGAGATACCTTTCGTACCCCAAATTTGCCCTATCTCTTTATTTTTTATCTAGCTTTGAACTTTGCATTCCATTTGCATCATTTTATTATTCAGTCATTTGCATATCCTGCATCTCATGGAATCAGGCGCTTTGGTTTAAAGTTTTAGGGTTGCGCCCTCTTTATGTCTAATCTTGTTTTGAGGTTTTCTTGTCAGGTTAAAAGGAAACGCATCTGGTTCTCAGATTTTTGGTTTCTGTGAAGATGTTTCTTTCGCCTGCCTCGAGGATGGCTCAAAGCTCAGTGCATTAGGTCAAAAATCTCACCTCCTCGCATTTCAAGTTTCTTCTTAAAGCCTCTAAGCCGTTGAGTCGAGAGTTTGAAGTTTGAATTGGCAAATGTGGAGTTCGAGCACTTCAGAAAATGAGGTTAAAGGTTCATGATAATCAAGACTTGTTTTTGTTGCTTAAGTTTCAAGTTATGGTGGGCTGAATGTCAAAGTCAGAGTTATGTTCGAGAAGTGCGAGTGTGGTTCAGACATGATTTCAAGATCAAGGTTCAAAGAGACCGGTGTTTTGGGTTCGAATTAATCAGTGGAATTAAATTCTTGAGCATTCATTTTGTTTTGTTTGAGAGTTTGATTATAAGACGGGTGTTTTGTTTGGAATACAAGTTATAATCATTATTCATGATTTCTTGAGATTTAAGTTACAAAGTTGAGATGCGCATTCGAATTATTCGAGAGGAAATCTTAGAATTCAAACAAATTCATGAGTCATTTGATTTCCACAACAAGATTCATCATTGATAAGTTCATTCCAAATTGTGCTCATTTCATTTTTGAGATAATGTTACAAGGCATATTACAGTATGAAATACAAATCACATTGGTTTGTTTACAAAAAAAAAGAAAGAGAAATAATTTGTGTTTCTTCAAGTCTTCATCTTCAAGTCCTTCGTCCTCACCTTGGTATTTTCATCGTTCAATCTCGCTTTGGATCGTCCAATAATCGTGCTCATGAAACAAGGAAAAAGAGAAAAGTTAGCGATCAAGCATATAAAAAATTTCAAACAAGAATTAATTAATTGATATCTCATCATGAGGGTGTGTATTTGGAATCAGATTAAAAGGGAGTTTGTTTAATCATGGACTATTTTTTTCCCTCTCCCAATTGCAAATCACATAAAGCTTGTGCCTTTTGGTTCACAAAAAGAAAAAAAGAAAAGAAGTTTGAAAATATTCTATTTTTTTCTACTGCTGCAAAACAAACATAACAGGTAACGTACAAGAAGCACCAAGCTGCCTAAAGCTACAAGCAAAGCTGCCACGAACAAGGCAAAACAAGCATAGCAAGGCAGCACAAAAGCAGCTGCAACATAAATGGTACAGCAGGACAAGCAAGCAGCAGCACAGCGTCAAAGACAATGCAGCAATGAACAACAAGCAACAAGTCACAAGCAAACAATAACAGCAACAAATGGTATCAAAACAAGCAAATAATGCAACATCATATTAAACAAAACATTAGTGCAAGCAGCCAAATGCCTTATTTCATCATTTTCCAAATACACAAACCCTTCATAACTTTAAGGAAAAAAAAGTAGTAAGCTTTGCATCACAGAAAGATAAAAGAGGAAAGAAAAACATGCACATTGCTGTCCAACAAAACTGTCAAAACCTGTTCAAAACTTGCACCAAATAGGCAAGTTAAAAACCTGCATTCTAAAGCAAAAAAAGACAGTATACCAACATTATTCAAATCTAACCCATTTTTCCCCCAAGTACCTATCAATCTGCCTATAACATGTTTCATTCATAGTGAGAGGGGGGGGGGGGGGGGGGGGGGGAGACACAGCCAACAACTTTTGAGAGAAAAAAAAAACGAGTGAGAAAAATATCAAGAGAAGAAAAACGTTGAAAAAGAGGGAAAAGGAAGGACTCAAAATTTTTTTTGTTAGAATTGTAACAAAACCCATATTTCATAATACACATCAATCCATCTGTAACTCTTCTTCAATGCAACAACTTGTCTTGCTGCAACATACAATACTGGATCCAAACGTATTACAACATCAAGATATCTTCACTCTTTGAGTTCAATCATCATCATAGAGGGAAAATATGAGTGAATCAGAGTAAAAGGAAAGAACATCAGACACAATACCTGGAAGATCGAAGACCCGTTGGAGGAGCTCCGATTCGATAACATTCGTTCTCCTTCACTCATTTTTTTCTCTATTGATTGCTATTGTTGTTTGCTTGATGTTCAGGACCTTTAAAACCTGTTAAAGCACCATTCAACATAACCTGTAAACCACACGAAAATAACAACAGAAAATCATTAACTCACTCTTGTTCACAAACACAAGCAATCACGCAAAAATCTCAGAAAAATCACTAAAAAGATCACCTTTAAGACCCTCCGCTTCGATTTCCATCTTCTATACTTTTTTTC